GCTAGAGTAGCCCCATTGAAATCTGTTACCATCCCTCGCTTGGAGCTTTCGGCTGCAGTTTTAGCAGTTAAACTGGATAAGATGTTGCGTGCAGAACTTCAGTTACCTTTGAAGAAAACCTGTTTTTGGACAGACAGTACAGCTGTCCTAAGATACATTCAAAATGAAAACAAGCGCTTCAAAACCTTTGTAGCGAATCGCATACACACCATCAGAGAAAATTCTGAAGTGGATCAATGGAGGTATATACCTTCTGGGTTAAACCCCGCTGATCATGCCTCATGTGGGTTATCAGGTGGAAATGTGAAGCAAAAGTGGATAGAAACCCCAAAGTTTCTTTCGGAGCCTGAAAATAGTTGGCCACAAAACCCTACAACCCTGCAGTTACCCACTGATGACCCAGAAATAAAACATATGGTAGTGGCATGTGCAACAACCAACAGTGTCAACCCTACATCAAAGCTAATAGCTTACCATTCGGACTGGCAAAAGCTAAAGGTAGCTGTTGCATGGTTTTTAAAAATAAAGGAAGTCCTGCTAAGGCTGAGCAAAGAGAGGAAACAAATTTCCATTTCAGATGTCCCAGCTGTAAACCTGACTAGAAAGTTACAAGAATTCAAAAAATCATTAGGAAATCAAGGTTTATCTTTGGACAACCTTAAGGAAGCAGAAAATGCAATCATTGCCTTTTGTCAGCAAGAAAGATTTTCTGAAGAGATAACCGCTTTAACAGCAGGTAAAGCCGAGGTATCTAAAAAAAGCAGCATATACAAATTAGATCCAGTGTTTCAGGACGGTTTTCTGCGAGTGGGAGGCCGGTTGAGCAAGTCAGCCATTCCTGAAACCACAAAACATCCTTGTATTCTGTCAAAGGACCAACATATTTCTGAACTTATCATTCGTCATGTACATCTTCAGCTTAGACATGGTGGTAGAAACCATGTTCTTTCGGTTATAAGAAGGAAATATTGGATAACACATGGGGTTTCTGCTGTTAGGAAAGTCTTGGCTGAGTGTCTGTTTTGCAAGAAATATAGAGGAAAACTCCAGCTCCAGCAAATGGCAGACTTGCCAACAGAGAGGGTGGTTCCAGATTTACCCCCATTTACAAATGTTGGGGTAGATTATTTTGGACCTATAGAGGTGCAAAGAGGACGCAGTGTAGTTAAACGCTACGGTGTGATTTTTACATGCATGACTAGCAGAGCAGTGCATTTGGAGGTGGCTTACTCCTTAAACACTGATTCATGCATTAATGCTTTACGAAGGTTTATTGCACGAAGAGGTCAAGTCACACATATGAGGTCAGACAATGGTACTAACTTCATAGGAGCAGAAAGAGAGCTACGAGAGGCCATAGGTGCCCTAAATACAAAAAAAAATCGAAAAGGCAATGACACAAAGCGGGATAAAGTGGTCTTTCAATCCACCAACAGGGTCACATTTTGGTGGAGTTTGGGAACGTCTCATTCGCATCATCAGAAAGGTTCTACACTCAGTGTTGCGTCAACAAGTATTAGATGATGAAGGTCTGCATACCATCCTATGCGAAGCTGAGGCTATCCTGAATGACCGACCCCTAACCAAACTATCAGAGGATCCCAATGATCTTGAAGCTTTAACGCCCAATCATTTACTTCTCATGAAAGGGAAACCTGTCCTTCCACCAGGTATCTTTGAGAAAGAGGACCTTTATGTAAAGAGAAGGTGGAAACAGGTACAGTACATTGCTGATTTATTTTGGAAGCGGTGGATCAGGGAGTACTTGCCACTATTACAGGAAAAACAAAAATGGATCAAAAGGAAAAAAGGGTTAGAAGTGGGAGACGTAGCTATGGTTATGGACTACACCACTCCTAGAGGATCATGGGTGTTAGGGAAAGTCCTTAAAACGTTTCCTGACAAGAAGGGCTTGGTTCGAGTGGTTCGCCTTCAAACCAAGACTAACATTATCGAGAGACCAGTAACTAAACTAAGTTTAGTGTGTGAAGGGGAAGATTAGGTTGCAAAAGGTATTACGGGTCTTTTGGTTTATGTGTCTTTTTATTACGTATTGGTGTTTTTTGTGTTTTATAATGGCTCCTGTAATTTAAGTTATTGTAATTGCTTTGTCTTCTGCCATGCGCAATTAGGGGCTGGCGTGTAGGAGCCATATGTGTCATTTCTTTTTGTGCACTTGAGAGGAGGCTTGGCCTAATATTATTGGTTAATTGCTTGTGGAAGCACCAGCCTACTTAAGCCAACACAGATTGGACTCAGGGGTGGCTGGATGGGACAAACAGTTTTTTACTGTGTGGCGAGGACTGTGGCTGGGTGTAACGGACTCTGCGGATTGTCACTGGGGCAAGTAACGCATGCACTGAAACCCACTTTAACTGCTGTAAATGGATCATCATGGACATTTTGGAACCAGACAAAATAATAAACATCATCGGAAATAAACTCAAGCTGCATTTCTTAAAGCGCACGTAAAGACCACCCGCAACAGCTACCAGGTAGTGCCAGTGTATAGGGCACTGGCGCTACACTTCACTCCCTTTCATCCGTGGCAACGACTGAAGAGGTAAATGTGTAAAACAACAACGTTTATGAATGGTGAAAGTTTTCTAACAGCTTATTACAAATCAATAAAGGCATTTTGTCCTCACGGGCTCCTATAGAAGGGAGCCTGGCATCTAATATGACGTCACCCAGAGACTTAGACCCACCGCCATGTATTTTAGACCCGATTTTTATGGTTATACATTATGAAGATGCCAAAATTTTTCAACAACTGAGCATCATTTAATTCATTTTTAACATTTAGAAGAATATTTCCTGAGATTAATGGTAAAAACTACAGATGTCTCTTTAAGTGTTGCTTTAAGATGCCAGTGATAGTTTGCTCTTGACTGGTTCAGACAGGCTATTCACGTATTAGTACTGTCAAATGTTAAAGCATTAGGCCCGTTTCCACTACTGAAACCTTCAGGTAATTTTGCAGGACCTTCAAGCTACGCAGGTGTCTCCATTTCACCAGGCCGGTGTTCCAACTATCCGTGCTTCTCGTCGATATGTGCTACTTTGGGGAAATGTGCAGACCGATTACTATGTCACAGGCTGTTTACCTGAAGAGATGTGCTACCTCTGGAAGTTGTTATATCACTGCTTGATGTATGCTTACCTGACAAGTTAGCTTGTAAATGGCTTGTAAAATATCATTATTATACTTCAAAGAGCAAGTCACCCCCAAATCAACCTTTTTTGCTGATAAACTATATAAATGGGTGTCTAGTTGTGCTGTAGACATGTGTAGTCAATATTTTGGCACTTTACTGCATCTTAGTTAAAATTTAAATATTCCGCCTAAAACTGTCAGCGTTGCACCGTCATCAGGTAAAAACTCTGCAATACATTTGAATTTCAATCTGCCATGGCTATTGGCTAAGAGGTACACAATGACATTAGCTGTTATATTATGATGTCACTATGCTGTTGTTAGCCTGTTTGTGTGTATTTGTTAGCGGCTCTGCCCTCTCGGTCTGCCAGGCAACAGAATTTGTTGCACTTTTCAAACATGAAGTGGGAGTAGAGTAAGTTTTTTGTGTAGGGGGTGACTTGCTCTTTAAACAATAAATTTCTCCCATTATTTATCATTATTCACGGAATCATGACAAACACTATATTTTTGTTAATGGTTATACTACAGTTCTATATTTTTGAGTAATATCACATATTTAAAATAAACCGTGCTTACTAAGCGTGCTTTTATACTGTAAACAAGAGCAAAACTGTCGCAACACACTACGGTAGGACTATTCAACAAGGAAGCATGGATAGTCAGAACACCGGCCCAAAATGACCACTTTTTGGATCATTTCAGGCACCAAACGAGTCCCTGAACTGGGGCAAGTACCCAAAATTTGCCTGGTAGAGTCACTGGGCAGGACTTGTGGTTAACTCATGCTGTTTTAACTTGGTGGGAAATTATATCGGCAGCCATCGCCAAACAACTGGAATTTGTGAAATTAGCAGACTTCCCGGCCAAGCAGAATGAAAGAAAAGAAGCTCTTCAGGAAGCTATCTACAGTATTTTTCATTTTTACTTAAAAACTTGAACACAAAAATAACCAAAAAAAAATTCTAATATTTCGTCCCACCGGAAGATACTCAGGATTTTGGCGTCTTTAAAAATAATGAATTGATAAAATGATGGGAATGAGTCCTCACCACAGACTCCATGTCTTTAAGAGAGATCTGTTTTCCCAGCATCATCTTGTAGAACGGCCGGATGAAAAAACCTACAGTAAAATTGATGCGTTAAAACCACCAGAAGAAAACACAAAGAATAAATACAGAAAACTTAAAGCTTCAAGGGTCTTACCATCCAGCAGCTTTCCATGAAACACAGCCATCCCTGCCACGCGCCCAATGAACTTGAAATAGGACAAGTGATCCTCGTTGCACAGACCAGAGTTGGGATTGATTTGGAGTGTGTAGTTATCCCTGGAAAAATACACAAGGGCAGTACCAAGGAGGAAATTAATTTTGAGACCACAAAGTAATCAGCTGGGATTATTCTCTTTGTTATCAAGTCTCTTTGGTTATTTTGATCAACAGAGTCTAATCTGTGTGCCCTGAGCAGCAGCTGGCTGCCAAGGTGTGGGAAACAGATATTTCTCAGCAGATCCAATTTCTGAGTTGACTTCACAAAACAAAAATCAGCAGGGAGAGAAAAGGAAAAAATAGCATTAATCGATAGCAGCTTTCATTTACCGATAAGACAGCAGCTTGGGGCTAATTTTTTTTACATATTTTGTTCTTTAAAAACACTCAGACAAAAAAAAAACAAAAAAAAAAACAAAACAGAGTCATGATGTTATGACGGTCGTGTCGACTAAAGGAAAAAGGCGTATGAAACTTTATTATCATGTTTGAGGAAAACATTTGTTTCAGGGCAGTTTTAGAATGAAAGGAAAAGATCATTAAAGGAAAAGGAAGTCTGACAGGGAAGCAGAACAACAGCGGAGCTCTAGTACAGCTAACAATCACAGCGTGCTATTAAGGCTCCTCAAAACGCTGTGTCCCGTTGTTCTAATCTTTTCCTTTAGGAACGTAATCACCAACAAACAATCAGAGGCTTACGTTGCAGAGTACTCGAACAGGCCGTAGTACGGATTGAACATCTCTTTAGACAAAAGGAAGAACCACTCTCTGGCCACGCCTCCATAGTCCAATCCTTTCTCCGACTCGAACTCGATCCACAGGCGTGCCTTCAGAACGTCCGGCCTCTTCAGCGACATGATTCGACGATATGACTCCTCAAAGATGTTGTTCCTGTGCAGCTTCATCTCGAAACGATTTGGGATATCAGCCTGCAAACGGTGCAGAGAATAAATATCTACTGCTCGGATGCAAAAATGTTTTAATCTCATTTCAGTTAAATAATAAAGCCTTATTTTCTTTTCTTGTTTTTACTTGGGATATGGGATATATCCTAAATAAGCCTCCTACTCCCGGAGGGACTAGTGGCGCCAATGTTCAACAGTGGGGATGGACAATATATCTGCATCAATATCGGTATTGGCCAATGCTAGTCATGTTTTAACATATCGGTATCGGTTAGATAAATAAAACCAGACTGATATTAACAACCGATATTTTTTCCATCTCGTCACCATTTGTTTGCCTGTTTCAGAGGGTGGGGATTTGTTTAGTCATGTGAACAGTGAATGAAATCATCTCAGAACTGTAAATGTGTGTGTTGTGTGTTCATAATAACATAAATTCAGCTTTATTAATTTTCATTCTGTACAAAATCTGATGATTTTAGAAGCATTAATGTTGTATATCGGTATTGGCAAATATCGGTTATTGGCCATGACAGTGATCTTAATATCAGTATCGGCCCAAAATTTTCATATCAGTGCATCACTATTCAGCAGCCTTGCCTTTGTCAGTGTCAGCTGTGGCTACATTATAGCTCATCCCCACCAGTGTGTGAATGTGTGTGTGTGAATGGGTGAATGACAGATTGTGTTGTAAAGCACCTTGGGGGGTTCCAGGACTCTAGAAAGTGCTATAGAGTATCAAATACAGGCCATTTACCATTTTACACAAACAAAATAAAACTTTAGAACAACAATAACGAGGAAACAAGGAAAAGAAGGTACAAAGCACAAACTACTGAGTCTAAATTTTACTAAAATAAATCATCAATGTCCTTTCTGAAAAGTTACTATACAAACATTTTTTTATGATTCTTTGACAAAAGAAAGAAGCGCAAGACAATTAAAATAGATAGTTCTAGTAAACTGAAAATGGTTCAGTCTAAATATTGAAAACTCTTTTCAGTTTTTATTAAAATAAGATTTAGCTCTGTGACCTGCCCTGAGACTGGGAGATTGAGTGTTCAAATCCACAGTCGGGTCATACCAAAGACTTTAAAAATGGGACCCAATTCCTCCCTCAGCATTGAGATTTTGGCTTGGGGGGTTAAACCACCAAATAGTTCCCGAGCGCAGCCACCGCTGCAGCTCACTGCTCCCCACGGGGATGGGTCAAATGCAGAGAAATAATGTCACCAGTGTGTGACAACTAATGGGACTTTAACTTTAACTAAATGTGCCAAATCAAACTAACATTTTTTTTAAACAATAAGTGTTTGTTTGTTTTATCACAAACATTAATCCAGAATATTGTACATAACTGACCTTACACGTATATAAAATTTCATTTAAAAGCATCTAATTCCAGTTCCATCCAAGATGCCATAGAAGAAACCACTTCTTACCGGTTTCTTTAATTTCTTCCTGAAGTAGTCGTATTTCTGCTTGAACTCTCTGGAGTAGGGAACAGCCTGCACAAACACACAGAGGGGAGGAGGCGTGTGGTCATAATCAGATGACAGCTGCTGATGTTAAAGTGATGATTATGAATCAGATTAAAACTTCACGGCTACATGTGGGGATTCATGTATCTGAGAGGGAACTACTCACAGGTCCTGTGATAGCTGGACTCTGTAAGCGGGGGTCCTCCCACTGCGTGGTCTTGGTATCTGCGCGAGATAAATTCATTTCAGCGGCCTAATTCTTCTACTTTCATTTGAACAGGAACACAAAAAGCTGTTTTACTTTTCAAACAATGTCTTGTTGCTTTGCCTTTAGGAGTTAAATTAAAGGTTAGGATTTTTAAACAAGCTAAAATGTCAATGCTATCAATAGAAAAGGTTCAGAGGTCTAAAGTAAACAAACCAGCAAGAGAGGAAGTGTTGCACTCACAGATGTGCCATAAAACCAACATATGAGACTATACGCTGCATTAAAGCTGAATCTAAACCACGGGGTTCACTAGAAGGAGTTAGCATTTAGCAATGGGAAAATTCTGGTTCAGCAGGACAAATATGACTTTTTGTTCTTTAGCTTTGTGGTAACAAGGACCAACAGCTCCCAGAACAACTGATGGTTGTGATTGGCCGATCACCAGCTAACCCTCAAACCTGCTATACCAGTCCTACTGTCCTCTAGTGGATCATCCACAAGCGCCAGAGGTCAATTTCTTTTCTTTGTTAGTTACATAATTACAGATTGTTATATCAACGTTAGCCCATTTAAAACTACATTTGATTATAATCATTGTTATTTTATATTTCAAGCATTAAAGCGGTGATCTGGACATGCTGATTATTGGTGAACACCAATCACCAGACGAGTGTTTTGGTGCATCACTAATATTTTGTTTAATTGGGGGGAAAGGCGCTCTAGTTCAGGACTTCTGATTTAATAAGATTTAAGATAAAATATCAGACATTTAAATCTGTTTCTGTGTCAAAAGCCATACATGTGTATCTTACCTATTGTAAAAACTTTATGAACAGCCTCAGTTTGAAGAAACAGTGTTCAACAGGACTGACAGTCTGGTAGAGCGCAGTCAAGCCCAAACTGTAGCGCTCCTGCTCTAAAACAGCTCCTACCTCCAAAATGTCCTAATGGTTCATATGAATATTATTTTCACACCGTCAACAGTTTCGAATTGCAAGGTTGTTTTGGCTGAATTAAAGGTACACTAAGTAACTGTGTCATACTTTTTGAACAAGGTCTTTTAAATTTTTATAACAGCTTAAAGAACACACAACAAAACAAAACCAGCCATTCCTAGGAATGTTCGATATTGGCATTTTTATCAATAACCGGCATATCAATATTGCCCAACTCTTATTATATCTTATGATATCGATATATGCGGGGTCCCCCTGACAAATAAAGAAAAAATAAATTATTTAGGGTGCTAACATTACATTTCTCCCATTAAGCATGCTTACATTTTAAACATTATTTGAGGAAAAATAACTACTTTATTTTAAGTAAGTCAATAGGAAAAAAAAAAGTGTCACATTAATTTGTCTCTAACAGCAGCTGAATCCCGTTCTCCCTGTGATAATCCTGGCAAACGCTCTGTGATGCCCTTTGTAAGTTACTACGTTTTGGACAAAGATGATTATCAAGTTCATGATGAGAAAAGTTAGATAAATAAGTTAGGGATGTACATAGTTAACTGGGTAATTGCCATTTATGGTTTAACCGGGTAAAACAGTTTTGCCCGGATGACTGCTACAAGTCCCTTCTGCTGTGCTTGGGTTAACCGGCTATTAACCGTTAACGGGCGCCAATAACTGCTTAAAGAAATTTTGAAAAACGTGTATCCCTAAAATAAGTTCATAAATAGTACAAATAAATTTGTTCGAAACAAGTTAAAGTTTCAAGTTTAGAGAACGGATCAACGTGAGACATCTCTATAAACCATCTTTGTTATATTGTCTAAAACGCGAGTGAGCACTGTCAACTCTCTTTACGTTGTTGACATTTAGTCAGAAAAGAAAGTAAACGACTCATGAACACGTTGAATGTGATTTATAAGATCGTTTATTCGTCTTTGTAACTATCGATGAGATTAGGGAATGTTCGGATGTGTGTTAGTTAATTAGTTCATGAAATATTTCCAGCAAACGTGCTAAATTAGGCTAATTGCTAAGTGTGGTGCTAAGATGTGTGTTTTAGTAATGGATTTTTCTTATTTGTATATTGTAGCTATAGTGAAAAATCATTTATTAAGACCATTAGTTTAAAAAAACTTGTTTGCTAGCCTTCTAGCCACTTGTAGCTATGTACGGTTAGGACAGCACGTGAAATGACAATTGAACAGCCTCTCAGTCCCCTCCACTCCTTGAAGGCAGAATTTCACATTTGCAACTCGAGTCTCTCCTGATTGGTCACCTGAAGTCTCGCAAAGCCACTTATCTCGTGAGAAGCAGTACTGCTTTATGGCAATCCAGGTTTACACCCCAGAACCATAGCTGTCTCCCATTTGGGCTGGGAAACTCCTGTTTTTAACCAATTTCACCCTGTCTTCCCATTTTAGCATTTTCCCGAAATATTTTTTATAAATAATCATCTCGCCCCAAAAACGGACACTAGGGGATGTTAAATGAAGCCAACACCGCCTGCCCAGTGTCGCTTTAATAAAGAGTTTCTGTCAGACTGTTTGCACTGAAAGTACCACACCCACTGGTTGAAGCTGGGAGCGGTGTCAAATATCAAAACAATGTTTGAATGAACCACAAGAGCATTTTGGAGCTCGGTTTTATGGTGACAGACTTTAATCTAATCTGCATTTAAACTTAGTTTATGAGTTTTCCAAAAGGGGAACATTATCCCTTTAAGGGGCTGAGACAAAGCAAAAACTAAAAGCAGAAAAATGCAGAAGTGTGGAAAAGGTAGACGGTTATCTTACTGTGGTCGATGTAAAAGGTGCGCCCGTCTGTGTGAACTCTTTCTTCCCATCCAGGCTGAAAAACAAACAAAAAGCAAAACCTAATGAGGGAAAACCTCTTGCTGCATCTTCTTTACATGTTGTGCTCAAATAGTAACTTAAATCCAGCCGTTTCCGTTTCCTTTCTGAATGGTGTTTAATTGAACTTGGTCGACCATTCCACAGTCAGAACAAAGACATCCCAGCACAAAGAGGTGAGGCAAGCTCAATCGAACACAGAAAAAGGAAATAAAAGGATTCCCTGCTCTATTTGAGTCGGGTCTAACACATCAGCAAGGCAGGGGTATGACCACAACATAAAAGTCAGTCACCACTGGTACAACCCAGTGTGACACCACCAACACCAGGGTGACCACTCGGTACACTGTAACAGGCCACGCACACTCGTATGCTCGTAGGCAATCAAACAATAACAATAAATCATGAGCAAAAGGGTGGAGAGAAGAATAAAACCTGCCCATTTTAAGTTGTGCGAAGTTTTGCTACAGCAACATTGGTACGCTGCTGCTGCGAGTGTGTGGACTAAAAATAAGCTAAGATATGCAGGACACAGGTTCCTTCCTCCAACACGTTTGGCTCATTTCCCTCTTCCATCTTTTTAGGTGCATTTCTCCCTCCAACCAATGCCCAGAGGATTTCACGTTGTTCCACTGTGCCAAATTGTCTGGCTGTGCCTCAGATGCTACACAGTTACACGAACATGGAGAAATATGAGGAATCCCAAGAGAACGGTTCAGAGCTCTGAAATATTCATCATAAACAGGAGATGTACTAGTGGTGCAGGGGCGGCGCTCGCAGAAACAAAAAGAGGGGGGGGGGGGGGGGGGGGACACAGAAAGTAGGGAAGAGATACAATCCATTCATGCCGGTCATGACAGGGAAAGAGAAGAAAAGGAGAAAGAAAGTAAAAAAAATAAAACATTTTAAATATGCAAGGCTGTCTGCAGGCACTTGACCAGACTGGATCAGACAGGCAGGAGGGCAGGCATAGGGAGGGAAGGAGGTACCAACCAACCTCCTCTAGTAGGTGCTGCCAAACAGACATGGCCAGGTGTAGAAGTGGCGTACATTAGATCCATCAGAATGAAGAAAAATGAGAAAGAAGGAAAAACATCACACACACATGCACACACAACACACAAGCTGTGAGATGTACAAACTCAGGAAATGGTTATTGTTAAAGATCTAGCTGCAGGGATATTCGGCCTACTTGTAAAGATTCTACTAGAAGGATGCTGCTTACCTAATCAGCGCAGACACTAACCCCAACGCTCACAGATGTTACGCTAATTAAAACAAGGCCAGACCTGTCGGCAGCACAGCGTTTTACACTCAACACCGGGGCTAAATGATTTTAGGAAGAGACTTAAATCTAGATTTATGATTTTCTTCAAACCAACTTTCACAATGTACAGAAACCTTTGGCTGAAAGTTACATTTTAGCTGTCACTAACTAAGGCTGGGCGAAAATCGAAACTTTTTTGTTATCTACATTTCTGACTGGTACCATTTTTTACATGTCAGTAAAGTTGATAATAAAAAACATGAAAAGATGTGTGTAGGTTGGTGACGTTCATGTCCCTTTAAAAAGCTGTACCACATCGAGTGACATGACAACGTAACTCAGCATAAGTGACAGCCCCATCTAGTGGACAACTGTTGTTTCTGCGCATACATGATGTTTTCCTCCATTAATCGTTATCGAGGCAAATTCCTCAATATACTGTGATATTGATTTAGGGCCATATCGCGCAGCCCTAACTCTAATGCAAGGATGAAAACTAAAGATAAGAATTGGACTTTTCTCATAAAGACCCTGCAATAAAACTGAACACAGACACATTTTAATTATCAAAACGCCACAGCAGATTGCACCATCAGAAAAAAATAAACGAAAACAAAAAAAAAACTGTTTTTGAAAGAGGAAAAGTTGTGCTTTCAAGTCAGTAGTGGTGTGACGGATCAAACGCGTCACACTGGAGTGTTAAATTTCGCCGTTTGTTGAGCCAAAATGCTCCCACACATGTGACCTAAACAATGCAGGTGGTTTTTCAAGCTCCTCTCCTCCTCCGCCCTGACCACCACTGTGCGTTTCTCCTTTGGATTGAACAGGCAGCGCCTCCGCCCTCCAGGCGACCGATCAGCGAACCGCGTATGTGCCGAACAGTTGAGAGATCAATGATGATCTGTTGCACCCCTAAAAGTCCACGTAGTGTTATTATGGTAAACTTGTTCCCATTGTTTCAGGAAGCTGGCAAATTACCTCTTTTGTCCTTCCCTTACACACACAACACACACACACACAAGTGATGATCACAGACATAAATAATATTGGCCGCAGCACATATAAGCCACATATAAAATCTGGAAAAAATGACCAAATGGGCCGATGCGCCTCCGTCAGCTCAGATCTTGGGCTACTGCAACCTAGACCCTGTGAAAAACCCAGAATGTATAAAACTACAGACCCTGGGTCAGTCAGGAGAACTGGCAGCTTTGACGATCACATGACCACGTTGTTTGAAATCGCAATTTAGGTCAGAAAAGTTGTTCAGCTTTACTTGATACTATCCCTTTACATGATTGCACTTCCTGTGATGGGGGTGTCTGTCAGAGCACATTTTTCACTAGCAGGCCTGAAAAGAAGTTGACCAGAATGTTATGCTAACTTTTGTTACTACAGAAACATTTTTAGAGGCTGTTTTTGTTACGGAGACAGAAAATGTTTTCGACAGAAACCGGGACATTGAAAAGGCTTGGAAAGGCAAACAGAGTTTTCGATAACTAGCCCCTACAAAAGTGATCTGTAACTGGTTCCACGGTAAGTGGCTCACTCACAAGTAAGCGTTAGCTAAATCTAGGAGACCGTTGTGTGTGTGGATATAAAATGGCAAAATTTAAACATTGAATTGGCTTAGAAAATCTGCCAACAGCTGCCCTAACTTTTTAAGTTTGGCATTGGCCTTTGTAAAAAGACCAACGTGACCTCAAGATCAAATTCCAGTGCTTGATTACAGAATCTCCATTAGGTCTATGCCATAGGTAAGACACGATTCAGCAATCACACCATAAAACCCAAACCTGTTTATACTTCTCCTTCAGCAAGTGTGTGCTCACACACACGCACGCACGCACGCACGCGCACACATGCACACACACGCGCACACGCACACACGGAATGAGAGATGCTTTCTTTCTATATTTCTCCGTTGGTGTGTCAGTGTTGTAAAGAACTTCTCCACCAGGACAATAGAGGGTGTGGCACTTTTCTGGGTCATCCACATCTCTAGTGTTAGCCACTGCGTGTTTACATTGTGTTTATATATTTCAGAGACGTTTTTAACACAGAGAAATTTGTCCTCCACCTCTTCATGCAGCCACCACCTCTAAGATCAAGTTTCCTGTAATTTCCTGACTTTGTACTCCTCCAGTCACGGGTGTGTATCCACGAGATGTTCTTCAATCTGCTCCGTATCTGTCACTTGATACGTTCAGTTCTCATTTTATCTTTTGAGGTGGAATGGCGGTGCTGCTGACAAAGTTAAAAGAAGCTGTACCCATACCAATCACATGTTTGCGTTCTGTCATTTTTTGTCAAACAGTTAGAAAAGCGGGTCTACTCCATTCGTCCTTTGGATGACAGATGATGGTGTTGCGTACAGAGAAGTATAAACTTGGCTTAAAGAGCAAATTGCAAGTTAGAGACCCCCATGAACCAATGTTAAGAGAAACATAATAGAAACTCGTTTAAAACATTTTTAAACATAAATAAATTATTTAGGCTTTTAGAGTCATTTTTGTCAGAAATTTTATTTTTTTGCCCAACCAAGTGACGTCCGCTGAGGGAGTCTTGTTAGCTTAATCCGGAGAAAACTATGGATTCTAATGCCGGCTCTGACACAGAGGAAACTTTAAATGTTTATAATTTTACTTCCGATAGACCAAAACCATAAAGTTATGAGTTTGCTGAACGCCCCAGGGAGCAGAGACAAACCAGAGGGAGAAACCATCGGCCAAAGCAGAGAGATTGAGGAGAAGCAGCGGGGAGCAGCAGGTGAGTGAACGATGCTAGCATCACAATATTGTACAGATTACTATCATGTACCAGACAATTAAAATAGTATCGGTCAGTTAATATAATATTAATACTAATGAGCGTCTGCCAGTTGTCTCGTACTCGTTAATAGCTGTTCACGTAACGTAGTTTAGCTCTTAGAGCCGGGGTGTCAAACTCAAATTCACACGGGGCCAAAATGAAACTGGGACGGAGTCGAGGGCCAAACTTAATATTTTTTGAAAAAGTGACGGAAAATTTGCACATTATCTTTATCAACATATATGCAATTTTGAAACTTTTAATTTGGAAACAAACTTATTTCTGCATTAACACTGAATGTGGAATAACCAAACTGCACGAGCAAGTCAATTTTACATAAAACGCATCAGTGGTATTCATTACTTGTGGTATAATCAGCATTTTTAAAATCTATTCAGGATTTATGTTTTCTTGTTTATTCATTTTTCTTATTTTTTATTCCCCTTTTTTTCTCCTGTAATACGTGTCATCGCTGCTGTGACGTCTAGCTTTCCCCACTGAGGAACAATAAAGGGATTTTCTATTCTATTCATCTATCTGCAGCCTTTCCACTTCCTGTTTACTGTAGGTTAAATCTTTTCTCACGGGCCAACAACAAAATAAAGATATAATTTTATCTTAAATGAAAATGCAAAATCTCACCTGTTAACTTTCATGTTTTGGAGCAGAAAAAGAGCATAAAACCAACATATTTAAAGCTCAGTTTGATCCGCTGGTTTACTGTGATGCTCACCTGTTCCAGCCAGATACCTGCATCATGGGGTTGATCTGAGCTGAGGAGGAGACTCCTGTTGTTTTGTTCATCTTCATCATAATAATGACAACATTAGATGACAACAGGTGCTCACATAGGTTTGTGCTGCTGAACATGTCTGAGCAGCTTGACCACGTTGTTGTGTGTCGGGGAGGAAAAATAAAATCTACAGCAGCCACAGAGTCATGCCGATTTGAGCGTGTCGCTGCTTGTTGGAGTTATATCAGCTCTGTCTGGAAGTTAGTTGGTAAACTTTGTTTCAGTCGTGAACACATTACTGAGTGGTTAAAATCTCCGTTTCTGAGCTTCAACGTCGGCAAATAGCTGAGTAAACTCAGCGCTGAGTGAGAGGAGTGTTTAGTTTGTCCGAGACAACGGAGCTGCAGACACAGGCAGCAGACACTGGAAAAAAACACAAAGGAGGGTGCGCTTCGGCTCTGTGCTAACACCGCAAAGCATCATGGGAGTTGTAGTCTTTGTGGTAAAATCGGCCAGCGGGTCAGTTTTAATATATTTTTGATATTTATCTCGCAGGCCACATAAAAACGCTCCGCGGGGCACATCCTTGTGTCTGACCCATGTGGCTTGGAGAGAGGAAGAGAGATGCCGGTCATCTGGTTCTGGAGCTCATGCAGGCTTCTGTGAGCTGGATCCGACCCAGACACCCTTGATGTATTGAGGCGGGAAAAAATATTGAGTTCATTTTCATCCATCGCACAATTATTTGAGTTATTTATTATCGTCCCAGCCCTAGGCAAGACTATTGCGTTTAAAAAAAAAAATTTAGTCTATTTTTGATGCACATGTAAACACACTGACCGAACTCCAGTTATTCTGGTACCCCAAATGTTATGGTTAGTGTATTTTACCAAAACTATTACAATGTTGGGGGAGAAACGCAAACTTAAATGAGTCTATACACATTAGACAAATGATGACAACAGAAATAAGTTATTTAACTTGTTTTACGAGCAAACCAAGACAGATCCTACTTGTTTGAAAGAAGCAAGAACTTTGAGCAACGATCTTGTGAATATGTCTCACCAGTAGTTAAAGAAATGGTGGAGCTTACATCTCTGAGGTGGTAAAAGTAGAGAAAGCATGGTCAGCTATTATAGTTATTGAATCAACTAATTTAGAAAAGAATGCAAAACTAATAATAGGGCAGCAAAGTAAATGGTTAACGTTTTGGTGTTGAATACTGTTAAAGCAAACTGAATAATGGTGAAGAAATAAAGCATTTACTGAGATTGTTATGAATGCGCTTTGAAAGCCAGGCAGGCAAGTACCGATCTGTGATGGTACTTACAGGAAGAGGACCAAGTTCACCCGGCTCCATTGAGTTCTTATTCCTCATATGGACTGGATACTTCAACCTGGGATCCTCCTGTTGGGGAGGAAATAAGAAAAAAAGAAGAGAAAATTAAAAAATAACTCAGAATTCAAAGCAAGAAAATGAAATAATAATATTTAAAACTACTTCTAATATGGGTAAAGCAGCACAATGCCCTAAAACTCTAGGATTCAGATTTGTTTGGGCTGAATCTAAATGGAGTTTATTGTAAAACAGATTTTTATACCACAAGATGTCAGTAAAACATGCTAAAAGAGCTAAGCAAGCATGTAGATCTCACTAGATCCCAAAATAGCACACCCAGGAGATTAAGGGAAAAAAGATACATCTGAAATTCTTAGATTTCCATCTTGAAAGTAAAAAAATAAGTATTGGCTCACCCAGGTGGTGGTTCTGCTGTTGTGGTCGATGAAAAAGGGCCGCCCATTTGGGGCTATCCTCATCTCCCAGCCTGGAGGCAGGAAACTCTGCTGCGTTTTGTGTTGTGATTTCGGGGAGCTGTAAGGGGACGGCTGGGGGGACTGGGGGTTGGAGAGAGTGTCTTTAACAGCCCTTCGCACCTGGATGTGGTTGGCCCCCTGGAGACAAAATGAAAAGACAGAAAAATAAACAAAAGAGAAATATTAGCAGCCACACTCCATTAAGAGGAGAGTCTGGGGAAACGACAACAAACATGGACGCGATATCCATTATTTCAACACAGCAAGACAGACCCCAGGGTTTCCAACTTGCCTTAGTGTTGCTAAAACTTTTTAAAAATATACATATTTTGCAAAATGTTGACCACATTACCACTCAGATGAAGTCAATGATCACCAGCACTCATTCTCACATTATTAAAACATGTTTCTGATGCCGTAAACCTCCTCGTATCGACTTTTCTGACGCTAAAAGCAAATAAAAATCCCTCATTGATGACACACAATCAATTACAGTTACTCCTGTTTAATCAGATTTTGGATTTCATGTCCACATCAACAACATTTATTTCCCAGCAATAATTAGCACTGATCTCATTATTTAGAGGAAAAAAACAGCATTAATTAAATCACAGATCTTCCACCTCCACTGGAAGCTGTAATTATATCATTCTGCCTTAACGTCTTGTTAAAACACACACACACACACACACACACACACACACACACACACACACACACACACACACACACACACACTCTCTTTAATTAAACCCCCTTCAGTTCTTCTCCCTCGGTTGAAGTGAATGATCTTTACCAGCCAGAGAAGCCATTAAAAGCAGAGGAAGGTCAAAAAGGTCATTCATTTAGAGAAACCTTTTTAAGCCTTAATTAACAGAGTTCCCTGAATATTTATGGTCATGAAGCAAACTGCAAAGCAGACGATAGATAAACTGATTTCATACAAGAACAGCTTTAAGTCGCAATAACAAAAAACTGTCAAAAGGTCAAGGGGAAACTTCAATAGTTTATCTGATTGCTCATGTTAACCGATCCTGTTGTGTGATCATTAACACTCCTTAACCTGAAGACAACTGGCTGGGAGTCATTAATCCTTACTGAACAATAATTGACTAAATGAAACATTTTTTTTGTTTTGTTTGTCAAATGAACTCAGCTAAACGAGTTCACGTAAAAGTATTTAAACAACTTCTGGCCTGTAAAGCCTGCTTGAGTTACGCTGGAATAGACATTCCTCATTGCACAACAGTGCTACCAAAACAACAAGCCCACAGATCAGGAATCAGGAACAACAAAAAACAAACACAGGTTTGGGCTTTCACATGGATGTGTGTTAACACCAAACATTTCAACCATTGTGGCCATTATCATTCGTTACTGAATGCAATAGGATAAAAAAAAATGGGAGCGTGAGAAAAGAAAATCCATCACTGATGGAGAGAAAAAAGATGGGAAAAAGATTAAGAAGTGAGATCAACACTTCAGTATGTACACAGAGTGAACCTGAAAACAGGAGTTAACAGATGTAAAAAATATATTAATGAACAAGAAAAGAAACATTAAAAGATTTAGATTTTATTTTGATGATCTTATGTAAAACGAGAAGGTGGGAAGAGGCGGATAGGAGGACACTAGGCACATAAATGCTCTCCTGCTGGTAAAAATGCTTAAAGACCAAGTTCACTTGTTTATTTCTACACATATGTAGTGGTCTCTATAAATAAATTAATGCCTTGTGAGACAAACTTTGTGGGGAAATAAAACTTTGGCGCTCTTGTTTTTAGAATGTAAAAGTTAGCCAGAGCTAAGGGGATTAAGATGGCAGGATTTGGAGTCCTATTTCCTGATATTCTGACATCTTGCCTCTGATTGGCTAACAGCAACACAACTCTACCACGGAGTCTGTTTGCTTTAAAACGTTGATGTTTTTATCTCCACAAATAACTCAAGCCTGGAGTTCTGGAAAACAAGATGATGCTTCTCATCTTCTAATACATTTCAAATTTCAAGTTTCTGCCATTTATAGAGTTACGAATGCTAACAGTTAGCTTCTACTAGCCAAAATGTCCCCAGCTCTCTCCTGGATGCTAAATCAACAACAGCCTTCCCCGTTGTGGGCGAGTCCACGAACGCTAATTTACAGTGCGACATGAATTCACTGGCTTTTCTAATCTGAGCGTTTCCCCATCAATATTCTATTAGCAGCTAACACAGAGATTAGGTGTAGAAGACTATTTTTATGCCTGCAGGTGAAACTCAGAGAGACAGATCATATTTCACAATTAACAAATAAAAAATGACTTCTCAGTGAACTTGATCTTTAGAAAAATAAAGAAATGGGTGGTGCGGTGAAGGGTAGAACAGGTTTCTAATTCTCACCTCCAAAGGGGTGGAAAGGGTGACAGTAGGGGAGCTGAGGCTACGAGGTCGTCGAACTTGGGGCTCATGGAGGTGGTTGTTGGAGGCATTGGAAGAAGAGGAGGGGGTGGAAGTGGGAGACAGGGCAGAGGCTCCTCCTGACGGTGCTGCTGCTGCTGCTGAGGTGCTGGATCCATCTTCAGTCAGCTGTTAGCAAAAACAGCACTCTCGAGGTTAAGTGGGGTGGGGATTAAGTGAGGGATGTTTGCTGAAATAAAAGCCTTGTCTGGTCATGAATCATTCCGTCGGCGATGCTGGTCTGCATCGGAACGGTCTGGGTGCCAGCTTTGCTCTCGCAAAATTAGTTCCTAAAATTTTACAAGCAGTGATCATCTGTGCCCGTGGGGGAATATTCATTAATGACCCTTTCAGTACAAAAGCGGAAAGAGTTTAGCTTCAAACACAGAAACAAAGAACCCACAGAAGTCAGTGCTGCTCTGGTGCTTTCAACGTGAACCCCAAAAAGCTCATTTACACTCCACCATGACAAACCAGAACATTATGGGTTTGTCTTTTCCTCTTTAATAAAGGAATCACATTCAGAGAACGAAAAGACAAGATGTTGATGAACAGGTGTAATACACATATGGTGATTTTAGGGAAAATGAAGAAAGACTCCAAAAAGGGGTAAAAAGGGAGTATTAAAAGTACTCTCAGTCCCTCGATCTTGCTGTGAGGGCAGACAGGTTTGCAGACAGACTGGTGAAACAAGTGGAAAAACAGAGTCGAGGTGAGTAACGGGGAAAGAAGAGTTGTGGTTACAGATCCATGCCAAGGTTTAGAAAGGTGAGACCACTACAGAGATGCACTTTGTCCTACCACCAAGCAAAACACTGGACAAAAGAGGAAGGAAGACGAAGCTGGACAGAGGGAAAGACGGGAAGAAACAGAAGAAGCTCTCTACTTCCACAATTCTTTATGACCACACAGGGGAGAAACAAAGGGGAGGTCCGACACACAGGCCAACACCACCACAGGAACCAAGGTACTGTCCAGTCCATGCATAGAGCCAGCCCGACAGCCAGCCCTCGGACCTGCTGTACCTGCACAATTGGCCTAGTCCAAGTAGTGGTGCGGTTGTTATGGTTGACGTAATAAGTTCTTCCCTTGGTATCCTTCCTCTCCTCCCATCCAGGGGGCAGGCCGGGGGTGGTCAGGGCGTAAGGAGCTGCCGAGGGAGACTGGCCAAGTGTAAAGAGAGAGCAAACCAAAAAACAATTCATCAGTTCAAACTGGGGGGAAAAAAGCTGAAAGACTCCAGGAGTTTCAATGCAGTTTGTTAAGGATAACTTAGAAACAGGTGTTATAACAAAGCTACTTTTAAATGCTGATTGTTCCATTTATACGTTTTTGTTTTAAGCATGAAACACCAGAACAGATGCTCGAGTCATTAAAAGTAACTTTATATAACCACTGGTGTCGTGTGGCAAGATAAGCCTGAAAACTAGTGCAGATGCTGCGTCATCAGCCGCCACGCCCAAACACAAGAAAATAAAGACCAACACCAACTCGGACCATTTTGTTTTCCACCACATGAACACAACAACAATAACAGACAACACACACACGGATGTGAGTTTACACCTGGGATAACAGCTGTTCTGACCAACGCTGTCAGCAGGTGAACCCGTCACCGCTAAGGCAACTAAAACAAGGAGAAGTCAGCTTGCAGAAACGAATAATCAGTAAAACTGTGGATGTAAAGTTCTCATGTCTAGGACGTTTGTGTTGTTTTATGCGTCATAAAATCCCTGAAAATGCCAAACCTTAGGTGACCACTGCAAATGCAAACATATCTCACTATGTAAACGGAAAGCGCTCGTCTATTTATGCTAGTGGTTCTGTGTTTGAGAGACCACATACACAAAGTGTGTGTGTGTGTGTGTGTGTGTGTGTGTGTGTGTGTGCGTGCGTGCGTGCGTGCGTGCGTGTGTGTGTGTGGTTTGTCAGCAATGTGTGACTGATCTCTTGATACTGAATAAGCTGTGTTATTACCATGGGCTCCTCACCACCTGAGACTGTTTGAGCTCTTGTTCTTCTGGTCTGGGAACTCTGCTGGTGGTAGACAACAGGGGAACATGGTCTTTAGTTCACAGCATGTCGCGTTTTCAAAGCCAGAGTGGAAGTGAAGGAGGCAAATGTTTGGGCAGGAGTGAGGGTTTAGTGAGGGGGAAAAAAATTAAATGGACAAAGAGGGTAGAGTTTTATTTTAGAGGAGGTGAGGAGTGGCGGAAAGAAAGGAGATTCTTTTGATTATGGGTCAGGGTGGGGAAGACTGGAACCAGCGGACACGAGAGATTCATTTTAAGAGGATTAGCTTTGAGTTGTTACCTCAGGAGAGCAAATTGGGGCAGAGATTTAAACTTTATTTATACCCGATTAAAGCAGCTTCTCCAATCACATAATAAATCAATCAAAGCCACAAAACACAGGCATGAGAATAAAAGCATTAGAGTGGTTTACGGTGGTGACAAAAAAGGAAGAGAAATATCAGATTTGACTTGCAAGAAACTGATCAGGAAAAGGACATAAATCATAAAAATGTTTTTCTGGAAAGAAAACTACCAACATCACCATCATCATTACCACACTGTAAACACCAAACCTAAGGTCAGCATCTTTAAACCTCCTCTCATCCTTTGGTTCAGAATGCAGACAATGAGTTTAGGACAAGAACTGGATGTTTTAGCTGTCGTGTATCAGCTCAGGCCAAAATAAACTAAATCTGATTATAAATGTAACCCGAGTGCTGAAGCAGATCGTCTGGTGTGTGATTTTAGCTCTGGTATAAATTGTTGAAGGTAAATCAATACATTTACCTACTTAACCCGCACAGATCGGCTCACTGATCAGAACTACTATCACATTTTTAAAGAAACGTTGAAAGAATGAAAGTTATCTGTGAAAAAGCTCCAATTAGTATTCAAAAAATAAGAATAACTTTATCCTACCCAAACACATGGGCGTATGTATGCCTCTAAACCAGGGGTGCCCAATCCTGGTCCTGGAGGGCCAGTATCCAGCAGGTTATAGTTTTAACCCTGCTTCATCACACAACCAGCAGGTGATTAACAGGCTTCTGCAGAGCCTGATGAGCCCTTTACGTTTGGTGTATGTTTGCACTATCTTTTTATATATAGTTTAGATTTTATTTTTTTACTACAATGTGCTTTACTTTGTGATTTTCTTTTTTACTTGAAGATTCTATCTCAACCAGCCACTATTTTTGCACCATTATTATCGGTACTGTTTGATTTTCTTCATTTTAAACACTTAAAAAAAATACTTGAATCTGTTTCATTTCCATTGTTCTACTGTTTTGAAACAGTTTGCACATTGTTAATGTTTTATATTTGAAGTTCTACAAATATTAAGAGATTTATTGAGTTATTTAGTTTACAGAAACCACAAAACCTGCTTGATAGCAACCCTCCAGGACCAGGATTGGACATCCCTGCTCTAAACAGACCTGTAGTATTAGCCAGAGAGCAGCTGCGCCATCAATCCGACAACCAGACTTTTTTAAATGATGGCACAAATAACAAGGGACGGCTTTTAAATGTTATGGCAAGCCTCCCCGTTTTCTGTAATACACATCAGAATTTGCATTTAAATTAAAAATCCAATTATTGTACAAATGCTGTTAGTTTATTAACACATGATGAATACTCAGGTATCCAAACACACCCCCCCTCTCTCCCCCCCTCTCTCCCTCTCCCTCTCTCTCGTGAATCAGCTGATCAAGATGCAGTTACAAACACAACTTTTATGAGCAAAAGAGAAACAATAATTACATAATTTAATAAACCAGGAGGGCACAAAGAATTGTAATTTCTGTTTTTACAGTTTTCACCTCAGTTTCTATTCTGAATGACATGTGTTCATCACATCTAGCTTGGAGTTTACTTAAAATTGCTTCAGCTTCTCATTTTATGAATATGGCAATGTTTGTGTTGCACTGTTTGGAAAAATAATCATAAAACAACATAATTATTAAAAGGTTTTGTATTTTTTATATAACTTTTGAAGGTTAAATGTTGTGGCATTCTATACTTTTTACAAGTATTTGTTCATTTATGACTAATTTAATAACACTATGAAACCCAAAAAAGCGAAACACCTACTTTTCAAGTTTCTGGCTACTACCCTGCCAGTAGCCATTTATTTAGGTCCAAACAACAGGATGATTAAAAATGTAAGTAGATTCAGTCTACTTGTATATTTGTTTTCAAAACGATCAGAAGTCGTGTTTCTATTCCCTCTGATGACTTGCTCTGTAGTAAGAGGGTTATAATTAAAGGAGAAAGGCTGACATTTGCACATGTAATTTTCAATCGCTCAACAAAGCCGTAGCTCAGTGCAGTGACTCAGCTGTGTGATCAACATCTGATTCACATCACATGACACTGCTGAGCTGAACATTCGCTGATGTTATGATACACAACTGGCACAACTTCTCTACCACACACCAAAAACAACACAAGGAGAATCACGAAGACAGCAGCGAGGAGCGAGTAAGTACAGGTGCGGTTACCTCACAGAGAATACAGGTATGCTTTGACAGTAAAGGTCAAATTTGAAGAGACAGGAAAGGAAATTTGACGTGGAAGAGAGAGAATGGATGGTGTACATCTAAAGAAGTCAGGCAGGTTAAACAGGAGGGGTTAAATGACGCCAAACATGTAGGTGCTGAGGTAAGGAAGGACATTAAAGGTAAGAGAAGTGGAATGTGATGAAAAATATGAAAGGACTCATATAAATGTACCGTTATTGGAGGGGCCTGGGCCTGATCACGGACTCCATCTGTCATACTCGAGGAGCGAAGTCTGTTTGACAGCTGGCTCTGTTCAGAGAAAGCGAGGACAGAGCATAGATTTGATGGCTGGAGGCAAAAGGCCAGAACTGTAAATTTTAAACCATGAGGTCATTTAAATCCGGATGATTCCTGGTTTTACTCATATCTCACCAGAGAGCTGGGCCCTGGCACTTCACCGTTAGTATCAGGGGTGAGCGACAACCTCATATTCAAATCTTCAGAGAACTCCTGGGCAACAGGTGTAGGCGAGCGCTGTGGTGTCAGAGCAGAGGAGGGGCCGGGTAGGGACTGGGCCACGCCGTCGCTGGGATCCTCTTCTGTGATGAGCTCCCAGGACTGCAAGAAAAACAATGGAGACAGCCATGTGTTGGTGAGATTATCAGAGAGGACAGCTGTGGTTCCGGGTGGGTGTACTCCTGGTATGTCCCCTCACATTGTCCATGTCCCTGGAATCCAGGCGCTCGTTCTCCAGGTCTTCACTGATGTGGCGCCTGGCTCGGAATACCCGGTGCGCTTCCTGATGGATTTGCCGCTGCTGATTGTCGCTCTCAATTTCTGAGATCATATCCCTTCAAATGAATAGGTTGTATTAGATAAGGTGTCCTTATTAATCAAAGATCAGATGTTAACAAAAGTCAAAAGGTGACTAATAATAAAGAGATCAACAGATTAATTTTAATCCTGCATGCTAAATTATCCATCCATCCATTCTCTTCCGCTTCTCCGGGGTCGGGTTGCGGGGGCAACAGCCTAAGCAGGGAGGCCCAGACTTCCCTCTCCCCAGCTACTTGGGCCAGCTCCTGCGGGAGAATCCCAAGGTGTTCCCTAGCCAGGCCAGAAACATAGTCTCTCCAGCATGTCCAGGGTCTTCCTTTAGGTCTCATCCCAGTTGAATGTGCCCAGAAAAGCTCACCAGAAAGGCGTCCAGGAGTCATCCTAACTAGATGCCCGAGCCATCTCAGCTGGCTCCTCTCGATGCGGAGGTGCAGCGGGTCTACTCCGAGCCCCTCCCGGATGACTAAGGCCTAGTCCACACGTAGCCGGGGTTTTTTGAAAACGAATATCCGCCCCTCCAAAAACTTGCATCCACACCACCGCGTTTTAAAAACAAACTCTGTCCACACGTACCCTGATAAATACGTTGTTAAGGACATGCCAGACCTGTAGGCGGCAGTACTTCCCCCGTTCTTAACCTCGTCCTTCGTCTGTGGTCTTCCAGAAGGAGCAGTAATTCCGCTTGCAAAAACAAACAAGCAGAAAGCGCTTGGACAATTGATGGATCGGGTAGTGACAGAGTGCAGCTCTGAGGGCTTCAGATGCCGGCTAGTGTAAACACAGGTCGCACACGTGATGTCAGCATTTTTTGTCGCGGAGAGTGACGTTGAGGACCTTAAAACTCCGGTTTTGTCCGTCCACACGCAGACACCCAAAACGGAGAAAACGCAGATCTTCACTTTGGCCGGAGTTTTTAAAAAGATCCGTTTTTGTGTGGAAAAACTCCGTTTTCGTGTGGATGACAGGCCAAAACGTAGAAAAATATCTACGTTTTGGCAGATCCCCGGCTACGTGTGGACAGGGCCTAAGCTTCTCACCCTATCTCCAAGAGAGAGCCCAGACACCCTGCGGAGAAAATTTCGTCCACCTGTATCTGTGATTTAATTCTGTCAGTCACTACCCGAAGCTCGTGACCATAGCAGAGGGGAGGAACGTAGATCAACTGGTAAATCGAGATCTTTGCCTTCCGACTCAGCTCTCGCTTCACCACAACAAACCGGTACAGTGCCCGCTTCACTGCAGGGCAGCACCAATCCACTCATCGATCTTGAGCTCCATCTTTCCCTCATTTGTAAACAAGACCCCGAGATACTTAAAACTCCTCCACTTGAGGCAGGACCTCATCCCTGACCCAGAGAAGGCATTCTACCATTTTCCGATTCATTAAAACTATTCTTAAACTAGAGAACAAAGAGGTGAGAGGTACATGTTGGAAGGCCGTTTCCACTGTGTGCTGCGGTTGTTGTGGTTGACGTAGTAGGTCCGTCCCAGGTTGTCCACCTTTTCTTCCCAGCCTGGAGGCAATGGAGGAAGAAGCTGCTGAGGTCTTTGTGAGTCTGAATCCACAGACTCATCACCCCAACCCTGGCAAAAAAAATAAAATAAAATAAACAACACTTTTGATAGAATGTCTTTTAGCTAATTTACGATATTCAAGAAAAGACCAGTATTAGTTTACATTCAATGGTGTTTTTGTCAGATCGTGCTACTTTTGCTGCTTAACGTTACCTCATCTGTGAGGCTTTTTGCATACAACTGCAAAAGCACACATTAAATAAAGCAAGGCAAAGCTCCTACTTCTGCAAAAAGCAGGCCACACAGTAAATGATCTTTCCAGACCCTGACCTGGAAAACACATTTAACAGATTCTGGCAACCAGATTCTTCCCAATGTCTCAGAAGAATTAATAAAAGGAAGGGTTGACTTTTTTTTTCCATCAATTCCTAGTAAACACATTTCTACTGGTTTAAAGTAGGACATTTACATTCATCTTTCGGCCTAGAGCGGTGCTGTCACTGTGTGGAAGGAAGTAATGAAATCTGGTCTGGGTTCACGTTATAAAGCATGTCTCAGGTAGAGCGTACGTCAGCAGTTTGTCTGAGACCTTACCTCAGCCTCTTCCCTCATCTCTCCAGCCTCCTCCTCCTCATGTCCTCCTTGTTTGGGTAAATAGGCCATCTTCAGTCGCAGGTAACCTTTCACCCTGGACTTGTGGCTGGAACAAAAACAAATGTTTGAAACACAGGTGAGACAATCACAAGAGCCCTCTCTGCCAATTTGCTCAGGGTTTCTCATTCTTTAAATGAGGACTGTAATTTAACACTCCCTTATAGTCTCCTCCGCATCCCCAGTTGATAAAAACTTGTAATTTAATCAAAAAAATGCACTTTTACTTTTTAATCTAATTGTTTACCAAGATTGCAATCAATCAGGAAAAACTGACCTCCTTGGCCGCAACAGGAAGTCTTTGAATGTGTATGGACGCTCCATGGCCGGGTCCTCTGTCTGAAAACAAAGAGGACACATTAGTTAACCGAGTACACACACTGGTGAAAATAAAATGTTAGAGAGACATTATCACAGTCAGTATTTTAAAGTACTGCCCAAAGCAAACCCACCCAAGGATCATTATGCAACGCCGCAGCTCTCCAGTTACACACCGAACAGCAGAAATGTCACAGTAATGCTCTCTAACTGGGCCAAACCAGTCTGTGCTGGCAGAACACCCCATCTTGCTCTGGGAGATGTTTTTAACTCAAGAGGGTCATTTCCATATGACTGTGCAATTTTAAACACTAAAAGTTTAACAATAATCAGAATGTTAATGAAACTATTAGAATAAAGCTCTATAGGACTTACTGGATTTTAGAACTGATGAAACTGTAAATACTGGTTCTAAATTACAGTTTTAAACCACAACTGATTAAATTACCGTACATGAGGGTTTTTCTCCCAATAAAGTTTATATATTTACCTCAAATTTCATGCTACATTTTCAGGGTATATGCAGGAATCTCAAAACTAAATGTAATACCTATTACCTACTAACACCTAATAAACTATTAAACACTCATATTTTTTTTAAACGCTGCATTGCTTTGTTTTCCACTTCTGTCGCCAGGTTTCTGCTCGCAGGTAAGCTAAAGTCCAACATGCTATTTGGAGAAATTCATTTCAGATTACTAGAAGAAGCTAGCTGCAGGGCCGGCAGCTTCTTGTAAACAAACAAGGATAACTGGGCATTCGCTCTCATTGACCAACACATTCACTCCCAGCGCGTCAAAAACAAACGCTTGGTCAGCCACTCTCCACGTCAGACCTCTGACGCCAAAAGTGCCCTTTTTCGTTACTTATGTGCGAAAAGGGGTTTTTCCCTTTTGTAACTGGCGATCCCAATGCTGCGTAAAACTGACGTGATGGGATGTCCGCAGCCAGGGCACCATACAAGCTCATTGTACCTTACCTAACCTTATCCTCTTATTTTAACCTTCCCCTCACCCCTATCCTAACCTTAACCATCTTGCTAGCGAACACGTTATTGATGTGTCGGTCGCTCTAAAAGCCAGCTCTATGAAGTGAACGGTGGGAGCGGCCTCGTCATTGGTCGGGTTTGGACCGAGCCAGCACGAGGGGGAGGTTTCAACTACCTTGAGAATGTGTTGCATTGACACATTATTTTTTTCCAAAACGTGGAGAGTGTGGTTCTTTCCTGAAAGTCAGAAACATCCTCCGCCACACCTTTAATTTAAAGACACATCAATACTGACCAAATTTAAGATTTCATTTAGTCAATTTAGGGTCTTAATATTCCTTAACGGTGTGGATTACTCATTTAATCAATACACTTGCAGTGGTTTCTATTAGGAATGAATGCCTTGCAGGCAGAACTCAGGGCACATAAAAGCCCACAAGCCCCTAGCCCAGCAGGACCAAGTCTGCGACATCAGAGCCGTGCTTCCAACGGGAGGATTTTGAGTCTTATTTCCTGATATTTAGGTATCTTGCCTCGAATTGGATGAATGCAACACAACTCTAGCACTAACTCCGTTTGCTCTGGGACATGGGATGTTTTATCTCCACAAATAAGCCTGGAGGAGCTTCCGCCACGTGAGTGAGTTGCTAATGCTAGCAGTTAACTTCCAGTGTTTCCCTTACATAGGAGTAGCCTATCTTGGACCAAAATAAAGGGGGCAGAAAGTCAAATAAAGGGGGACAGAAGGAGATGTTTTTCCAGACGCCAAGAAAAATTAAATGCCAAATCCACTCTGCAAAGTGTGTCACTGAGAGTTTAAAACAGAAATTATTCTTGTGCAAATATTGGTGTATTCACCTTTAATATTAGCTATTAAAATGCAGCAGTTGCTGGATTGGTGCAGTTCAAAGTGGAGTGCATCAAATAAAACAATATTAACATAAAGGTGAGACGTGTTTATAATGCACTTTTCACAGAAAGAAAAATCTCAAAGTGCCTTTAGGATTCAGCATGGGCTAGATCCCTTCTCAACATGCATCAGCTTTAGCTTTTTACCTGCTGGCAAACTCTCCAAACCTTACGGTGCCAAATAGGAAATAAATCATTAATCACTTCAACTAATGGGAGGTTGATAACTTGGATGAAACTTCAGGAAGCAACAACCAAACTGATGACACACATCTCAGACACAAGAGCGTGTGAATCCGACAGGTGTAACTTTTTCCCACCGCTTTCATAACCTACGTCACCGTGTTTACATTCCCGAACACCCACTTTCCGTTTTTAACTAGGAGAGTGCGGTCTGACAAGGAAAACAAAGCTTCACACACAAACATCGGCACTGCTTGACCTTCATGAGGGTTAATCAAGAACAGCAACACTGAACGATAAGTAACAGCTGAGTCTTCCAAATGGTGTTCAGCCTGTTGGTGTGTGTGTGTAGGCTCTCACATGCACGTGCACGCACGCACGCACACACACACACACAGACAAAAATCTCACCGGCAGATGACCGAGAGGAACATCAACTTGTCCCAGGAAGTCATCTCTGGTCTGTGGGAATAGAACAAGAAGGTTAGGTTCACAATTATAAGTAAGTTTACGATCATGTGTCAGAAAAGAAACACATTTCAGCAGGGGTAGAAAAGGGTAAATCGCAGTGTTGAGACTAAATGCTTCTCTTTTATCTGTCAGCAACAGAGAAAAACGGTTAGGATTTTTATCTAATAGGCATCCAGAAAAACCCTCTAGCCCTCTTTATGAACACCTGTAGAAATCTGAACAAGAATCTCAGATGTCTGAAGTGCTACAGTGAAACAGCCATGGCTTCTCATCAAGCATTTCTTTTGTTTGGGTTTTTTGCACTTGATGGTAGATTGTTATATTTTTTGACTGATACACATTTTTGGTCTGAGTTTAGGTAATATCAGGGGCAGATCTGCAGGAGGGCAACTGTCTCCCTGTTGTAGAGCCCCCCCCCCCCCCCCCCCCCCCGGCCGCGGACACTTCCTGACATTTTAATCAGCTGAATTGTTTCTGGGTCACAGTAACGTTTGTGTTCTCTATGGCATTTTTACGCCATCGCTGCAGGACCTGCCAAGGATAACCATCAACAACATACACAGGATGACCTAGGCCACATCTAAGACACCATAAAGGTTTTAAATTGTATGTATCCACCTGCATTCATGACTATGTAGGTAAGTTAATAGATTATGCCTTGGGTTGCTTAATGATACATGCTAGCTCTATACTAGCACATGATAAATGGTCTGCCTTGGGGGGGTCCAGGACTCTAGAAATCTGGACTCTAGAGTCCTGGACCCCCAAGGCGCCTTACAACACAATCAGTCATTCACCCATGAGGAACCAATGCTAACAATGTTAGCAGGGCGTTTAAGAAACAAAAAAAAAATCATGATATGAACCTACGTCTCTGAATACATTGTTAGCATAGCTTCTACGTGGTGCTAACTTTGGCTAGTAAAGAGCTAGCATGCATCATCATTTAGCAAACCAAAACAGAAGTTTATTAACTCATCTTCATCATAAACAGAGGTGGACACACACTATTTAAAACCTTTATTGGAATGTGGCATCTTAAATTACATTAAATTACAATCTCTACATTAAATTAAGGACAATCTTATGGATTTAAATAAAAACATAGAACAACTACCCTAATAAAATGGGGTTAAACTCAAGGACTTACTCATTTTATAACCCTTTAATATATATCCAAAAACTGATCTCAGAGAGTCACTAATATTCATATGGATGACATGATTTTAATCTTCATCATTAATCAGGTGACTTATTTCTCTAACCAATCAGCCCAGAATGTCACAGGTGTTCACACAAAAGGCACAATCTAGGATTTTGGATTTAAGGACAGGCTTTCATTTTAAGAGCCCGTGAACCAGCCATGAAAAACAACATCCACTGCCACCAAGATGAAACCAAGTTGACTGACAGAGGGAGAAAAGGACAGATGTGACAACAGGAAGGAACCAGGGAAGGTTTGTGCTTCAGTTTGCAGAAACCCACAGGTTTGTCCAAGATTAAGCAATGATTACCTGTCCGAGATGGAAAAGCCCATTCTTGGAAGCACCCTGTGTGTAGGACACAACTTATTTAGACAACAGGCATAGACCAACGCAGCTGTTTGCTGGCTGAAGCTGATTTGACTGAGTAGTTAGGGTGAAACCATGAATTGGACTTAAGCAAACAAGGAAGTGAGTTTGAATTGTGAAAGGATTGGTGATTGTAGAGAAAAATAAACAGTCAAAATCAAATAACATTAATCAATTATTGTCAGTCAAAAACATAACTTTTTTTAACGCAACATAAGAAAAAACTTTCCAGTCCGCTGTGATGCCCAGAAAAAACCCGCTTTTCTTTTGATTGTTATCGACTTAGTCTTAAAAATGTAATGTGCAACAATTTATTTTATTTTCATACCCTTGATAGGATTATGGGTTAAAAAAATGCAAGTGGAAGTTTTCAAAAGAGAATATACCATACCAAGCTTTATTCATAGTGCACTACAGAAATAAAAGGTTGTAATGGAATGAAATGACTGTTTTCCACCAAAAGTCATTCTCCCCCTCTCCTCTGACACAGAACTAGTCAGCATGAGATATGGCTTCAAGGTCTCATGCATTTGCTTATAAACTGCTTCTTTCCAGCTCAAGAGAAGAATGAAGAAAGGACTCTCCTTTTAATAAATCAAAGAACTCTATTTTTCATAAAGCTAATCAAACAAAGTGTTAGTCAATAATAAGATGTGACCAATCTGTGAAATCAAAATATTAATTACTTTATTATAATTGTAATGGGGTAAAATCCTCGCACACACAGTTTTAACACTGTGCTATTCAGTGCTAAAACTAGGATGACACAAACTAGTTAATATATGAAGCTTCTATCATATATCAATATAAAATATTAATATAAGCGCTTGATGATCATACACCAACGAGCTTGGTCTAGGATTAATCTACGGATTAATACTTAATTTAAGATACTTAAATTAATAGCAAAAGTTTATTTATTAAACAGAAGATTCAGTAAGATTATTTTCATTCGATAAACTGAAAATGCAACCGTTTTCTGTGTTTCGTTTCAATAATGAGGCAAGTTTAAAAATGAAGACATTTTATTACTAACAATTTTAAACGAAAGATTTGAAAACGACAATTATAAAATGACAATTCATGGATGGCAATTTTAATGACAATCTTTAACAGCTTTGATATTAAACTTTGTTTGAAAGCAAACCTGTGTTTGAATGGAGCTAAAAATGAGAATGATGAGTTTTGGATGCGTGAATGTAGTTCTCAGAAGGTTTCTTTCAGAGAGAATGAAGCGTTCTGGGTGAAATGATGTTTTGCAGGTAACTGAGTTATTTCGAGAGAAAACAGCATCAAACGTCATCTGTCGTGTTCTACCTCACCCAAACAGCTGACCCTCTTGTGGATCCGGAGATCGGAAGATGGGTTCATCCAAGATGACACTCGGGGCTGGCAGGAAGATGCGAGTGTCCGATGCTCAGGTCCAGAGTGGTAGCCGGGTACACGGCTGTACGAAGCGTTTGGCAGATGCACGTTATCGTCTTACTTAACTTCAGAAATCAAATGACTCTGGGAGAGTCTTTCGTTAGTTCATTAGTTTCGTTTGTTCTTTAGCCATTCTTGTCGGCGTGACAGAACGGCTTGCAGAGTACCAGCAGGGTGGCTGTCCCTGGCTCCTCAGGAAGATGTCTTGTTCAGAACTGGACGTGAAGTCTGATGGTTAGTTTTTACCAAAAGCTCTCAGAACTACCCCCACTCTCTCCGGAAGAAAGCTTGCTCATGCGTTAAAAAAACATGTGATGCAGTTATTAATTATCTGAACTCTGTTAGCTGAATAAGGGTGAAAGTCTTCTTTGCTGAACACATCTTTAATCATTTTAATAAATCATTATTATACCCAAAGCATAATAATCATTTCATGTACTTAAGATACCTTTATAATGAGCAAAGTGATCATGTTATGATTATTTAAACAGTAATAAAATCAATGAATTATTCATTATTATTTAATTATTATCATCGTGGCTTGAAGTGTCCTTCTTGGGACGGAACAGCAGATACTGGTGTTATGATCTTGAGCAGACATCATGGCTCCTTGGGTTTAATCTGTGGATTCAAAGTACTGTTCGACCCAGCTTGACCCAGCTGGGCAAATGTGACCTTTGGCACAAATCAGAGAACCTTCATCACGCTACATAATCCTATAGAATATAATAAGTAATATGACTTTAAATGTTTCTACTAGGACTGATCTCACGTAGCTTTTACTGATCCAATCAGAATCTGCCAGATCTGACGGAGGCGTGGTTTTGGTGGTGCTTGGTAAACCTGTCATCTTTTCATTCGACCATAAACCAAAACATCCGAAGTATAAAACTATGCCAACGTCATCTTTAACGCCAGTTCAAAATGTTCCAGAGAAGTTGTCGGAGTGTCCAATCCGTAACTTTCCTCTTCAGCCAAAAGAACCAACGACAAGCTGGATAAAATCTGTTGCTGTTCCAACTGCTGCAACGGTTACTTTCAGAATAAAAGCTGAACCATCACGACCCAGGTTTGGGTCTCGCTAGATGCCAACAAAACTGTTGTGACCCGGAAGTATCTCAAGACTGGTGGTCGGTTGCCGCGGCTGTTTCTACGGGCTTCGGCTCCATAAAGGTCAAGCTGGACCTTTACACCTCGTGTTCTAGACGGGGACTTCCACGCAGGGTATGTAGGCCGACAAGAATGGCATCGAATGTGTTTATGAATCTCCTAACCAAAGCTTAGCGCGAAGACATCACCTTCATTTCCCATCAGAACTAATCATTTCTTCGGATTTGCTAGTTCTGAGCAAACTTCCACATTATCTCATTCTCCGTCTCATTCACCATAGTTACACCATACATTTAGTGTTTAAGTTAGTCTCGTTTTAATTGTTTAGTAATAAATCTTTAAACTTTTAAACTTGACTCTCTCTCCTGTTGTCTCTGAATTAATTACGACGCTGTTATCCAATCCCTGCAATAAAAAGTTCCAATCATCTGGTTAAACAGTACCCACAGATCCATAAGGGTGATTTCATATTTGCTATGGAATCTTATGCCTTATGGCTTATTAAATAACATGTAAATTAAATCATTACAAGGTTTAATACTTTGGTTCCTAACACGGCTTTTAGTCTCATCAAATGCAGCATTACTGTAAGTAAAATGCACATAAAAGCTATGAACAGACAGCGGACTGGTTAAACTTCCCCTATGTAGCAACTACATTACTTTTATGAAGGAATGTGACGACAGCATCAAATCCACTGGAAAACCGTCATAATTACCTGACCTCCAATTCACTGAGGAACAATTACAAATATGTCCCATAATAACTTGTAAACAACCTTTGAGTGCACAAGACAAACACAGACACAGTCATTTTCTAATGGAGATCTGTCTAATATTACATTGGAATCTGTTGTCATTTTCCAATCCAACCAGACCAATAATT